GAGTGTGGCGCGGCTCCCGCTGAGGGTTCGGATCCCATATGGAGATCGGTTCCCGCTTACTGGCTGAGCGCGGTGCGGACGCAACACCGAGGGTTGTGATCCCATTGCCAGTCCCCGGTACAGGCGCGACACCGAGGGTTGCGATCCCGTTACCGGTCAGTAAAAAAGACAAAAAGGAAAAAAATAAAAAAATAAAAGATCAGAGCAGAACTGAATGAAATCGAGACCGATAAACATGATCTAACATGTGGTGTATCTTAGGACTTTGTATCTATTGTATTCAGTTGCCAATTAATCATTAATTGATTATTAGTATTTGGATAGCTTAACTTTTTTTACACACATAATTGTTTTGCAAACATAATGTGCTTTTACAAAATTTATTTTTTTATGTAGCACCCCACATTGGTGACTTTTTTTTTTTTTTTTTTGAGCTAGGAACGGTGATTGTTTCTTTCCACATATAGTATTCCTTGGTGTCTTTCACCATGTGTTTAATCAGGTTTTCTCCTGAGTGCTCACCTGGGATCAAGTTGGAGGGCGTCTGTCATTGAGGTAAATATCTGGGGGCTTGGCCATCAAGCAGCTGGAGAAAGCATTCACCCATGCTCATTCATGCTTCAATATAGCCCACATTTTTGAAATGTGAAGTGATTTCTCCTTCATAACTGAATTGTTATAGGAGACATCTACACTGTGCCCAATGACAGCTCAGATGGAAGAATTAGGTCTACCTGAGAGTGGAATCTTTTTAGCCTTCACAGAGATTCACATTATGATACTGTTGCTGAACCCCATGGCTCTCTTCTGAAAAGAGTTTCAGAGAGGGGCACAGTGCTCCTTAGTGGTGCTCACTATGAAAAATGTCTTTTACCTTATGTGAGACCTTTGCACATGTGGGCTTTTCTTAGAAACTGCGTTAAGTCTTGCAACTGGGACCTCAGAAAAGAAGAGAGTGAGTAATTAGTGCAGCCATTATGGAAAACAGCATGAAGGTGCATCAAAAAATTAAAAATGGAACTACCGTGTGATCCAGCAAGCCCCCCTGTGGGTGTACATCCAAAGGAGTTGAAATCAGTGTGACAAAGAGACACCTGCTCTCCCGTGTTTATCGCAGCACTAATAGCCAAGATGTGTAATCAGCAAAAGTGTCCATCAAAGGGTGAATGAATAAAGAAAAGGCACTGCAGTATATGTAACATATATATATGTGGCGTTTGTGCATTGTGTTTGGCTCACTGAGGAGAACTGGAACCATGATCGGGCCACCAGGGTAGGGGGCTTTCCTGTGGGGATGACATCCCTCTAACCACAGACATCCCATTGGTGTGAAGGTGAATGAGGCTGGAGTCTTCATCCCATTAGACCATGAATGTGCACAAGTAGCCTTATACTCTGCTTCTAGGAGACATTACAGGTAGAGAAAACACATCATCTTTGGTTATGACTCTGTGGGATAAACGTAAGCAGTGAGTTCTACCCCTTTACCTTATTTCAAAATTCATTTGTTAAGGGAAATACTTATTGTGAGTTATTTGTGTGCAGACACTGTGTTGGGCTGAGAGCACATCCAGTGCAAGGGAAAACAAATACAGACAGTATTTGTGGCTTCCAATCTAGTGAACAAATATTTACCCACTTAAATATTTAATTCATTGGTCTGTTACTCCTTTCCACCTCAGATTGTGCCCCAGGGGACCCGGCCCACTTCCTCTCTGCACCCCAGCCACAGCCCAGTGCTTGAAGGAATGAGTGCTGAGAAGTTGGCAGAACGGGCCATTCTCATGCTGCCTAATGTCAGCTTCTGCAAGGGAGGTTCTTGGGTCCCAGCACAGAGGCCAGTGGTGACAATAGTTGGCCTGCCCACATGCGCTCTCCTGAGATGGCTGTTGGAGGAGCACCGAGTAGATAAATGGAGCTCCGAGTTTTGTACACTTCTCTGGGATTGGTGTAGCATCTCTCCTCCTGACTGCACTGCACGGGGTGGTGACCACAGCAGTGCCTTTGAGTCTGCAGCAGTTACAGAAGTGAGGCCTCAGCACCACCTGTCTTGCCGCAGCTGGCAGTGCGGGTCATTACAAGGTGTCCCCAGTCAGAGCATCTGCTCCTGGGGTGGCTCAGATTAGAAGAGATGACACACGCACTGCTTAGTACTGTGGGATGCTGATTAGTGACAGGTACTGTTCACCAAGTAGGCTGTGCACCAGAAGACAGGCCACCTGAGGTGCCCCACAAGCCTGATCTCCCCTGAGTTAGAGCTAGCTACAGCTCTGAAGCTGGTGACAGGGCTGCTTCTGGAGCTGCTGGAGCTTTGGTCTTGCCACTGGCTCTAGCTGTGGAGCTGAAGCTGGGAGAAGCTCTAACGCTGCAGTTGGTGCTACAGCTGCTGCTGAAATGGCTCCTCCTCTGAAGCTGGTGCTTTCTAATTGCTGGATTGCTTTTGGAGCAGGATCCAGGTCTAGAACTGGCACTAGAGATATCACTGGATCTGGGACAGAAGTTGGTTTGAGGGATCACAATGGAGGAGGCTCTAGCTTAGGAGACAGTGCTGCCTCTGACCCTTGGAAGTGGCACTGAAACTACAGCTAGAGTTGGTGCTATCTTAGGAACTGATGGAAAAGCTGGTGCTGGAGTTGGCTCTAGCTCTGTAGCTGGCACTAGCTCTAGATCTGAAGAATGTGTCAACAGTGGTTCTAGCTCTGGAAACAGTGCCTGAGCTGGTTGTGAAGTTGTCTCTTGGTCTAAAGCTGGCTGTAACTCTAGTCCTGCAGCTGTGGCTGAAGTGGGTAGTAAACATGGCACTGGAAGTTGCTCAGGACGTGGGGCTGGAGATAATTCTGATGCTGACACCAGCTCTGGAGAAAGCACTAGCTCTGGAGCTGCCTGTAACTCTGGTCCTGCTGCCAGAGTTGGTGCTGGAGCTGGCTGGAGCTCTGTACCTGGCTTCCACCAGGTGTGCCCCTCCAGGTCTCCAGCCCTTAATTTGGGGAGGAGAATCAGCCCCTATGCCTTGAATGTGGCATGAAGGCAGAGAAGAGTTGGCCCTGGGCACTGCAGATTCTCCCAGTACCAAGTGCAGCCTATTGCAACACAATACAAAGTTTTTCTCTGGGCACTGGGACCAAAGTCACAGAATGTCAGAGCTGAGGAGGCCCTAGTGTGGCATCTGGGTGCAGCCTCCTTTTCAGGAGGGAACACCTGGGATCTATAGATACTGGGATCAAATATTACCTCGCCCTCTGTAGAAGCTAGGAGAGGGACAGTTTTTTTCAGCCTCAGTTTCATCAGCAGCAATGGGGACAGTAGCTCAGCCTCCCTCATGGAGCCGTTATGAGGATTCAGTGAGATTCTTATGATGACGTTTGAGTTCCCCAGAGGTTCTGCTGCTATGGACTCCCTGCCTCTGCCCACCCTGTTCCCTCTGCCTGGTAGGCCCGACTCACCCCAACTATGTTGATCCTCAGGAAAGCCTTTCCTCACCCCTAGTCTGGGTGGGGCGTCCCTCCACGGGGCTCCTGCAGCACTGGGACTCCCATCATCAGACCCACAGTGGCACCAGGACTGGACGAGACCCACCACTTCATCCTCGTGCCTGTGTACGACTGTCCTGAGGAGATAGTCCTGTTCTCTGGGGATGCCTGCCATGCATCTTCCTCTCCATCAGCCACGTCAGGGTTCCTAGTAGTGTGGCTTCCTCCTTCCCCAGGTCCCTGATCTCAGCTGTCTGTGCTCCCTGGCAGAAATCCTCCCCCCACACAAAGCTTCTGCACATGTCATTGATCAGTGTTCAAGTCATGACAAGGAAGAAACAGTGAAAACGGGATCCATTTCCGTTACTGGATATGCAATAGAAGGCAAAGGAGATTCCAACCACAGGGCAAATGATGACTTCGGGGCTCTGTAAGGGTCCAAAAATATTCACAGTCACACTGCAGGATTTGAAATCTGAAGAGTCTCAGGTTGGTGTTTACAAGTTACTAGGTCAGCTGAGAAACCTGCCCACAAGTCTAGAACGTGCACTCAGCCCACCGCTGTTACTGCTGTTTCCTATTCTGTCTTGTGCATGTCCTGATGCCTATGAAGTGCCAAAGTGGCTTCGCAAAGTTGGCCATGGAGAGGGCCTCAGGCCTTACTGCCCGTGAATGTCAAGTTGCAGCTTCATACATCAGGCGTGCTGGATGAAATGCAAACATGGAGCCTTGGAATTAAGAATGTGAATGGAGAGCAAACATTCATGATCCCCAATGAGGATGTGGACTCAAGGGCCACTCTGCAGGCACCAGCAGAGTAGGGAAGTAGGGTGGGCCACATTCTCACTGGTGCCGGAAGCCACTGGACACAGAAACCTGCCCATCTGATGGGGACAAGTGACATCTCAATACTGTAATATTTCTGTTGTCATCATGGAGGAGCTCCAAATCTTGACATTTCCTGTCCACATGTACTGCTCCCCTTTGGAGTTGCAGGAGCTTGTCCTCTGTCCCTTTAACAGCATTGATAAATGAGAGTTCTGTGTACCCCTGGCATATTACCCTTTCTCTGACTGTGAAGGTTTTTCCAGTTGGTCTTTTCAGCTGTAGACATTTTGGGGTATTTAGTTTTAGCAATAGGAAGTCCAGTCATTTTTACTGTGGCTTCTGGCTCCTCAATTGTTGGACCAGTTTCTATGACAAGATTACGGAAATACTTATTGTTGGGGTTGTGTTGTGTGATTTTGCTTATAATCTTTGACCTACTATAATGTCTGTTTCTTAAAACACAAAAATTATATGGCCAGATGCAAAAGGCCATGTAATATATGTGATTGCAGTGACAGGAATAGTCTGGAATAGTTAAATTCAAAAGACCAAAAAACTTTGTGGTTTCTAGGTACTAGGGGATGGATGATAGGGAGTGTCTGCTTAAAGGCTACAGACAATGACGTTTTCAGGCACTAGACACAGGTGATGGTTGCACAACACTGGGAAGATACTTAATGCTACTGAATTGTACACTGTAAAAACACTAAAACATTTTATTCTATTGCAAGGAAAATCTACTAGAGAAAAGACAGAAAACTTGGAGGAGATGCACAACGGAGACAAAAGTGAAGACAAACACAATGGCAGAGTAGGGGAAGGATAGCTGTGGGGCAAGAGGCGACAGGGTCAGGTGCTCAGGAGCTGGCAGGGAAGGTGGGACAGGAGCTGGCGCAAGGTGTGGGACCATTGGAAGCTCAGGTTCTGCAGCTGGTGCAGAGGGGGTTCCTGGCACTGGACATGCCACAAAAAGAGCTTCCATCACGGAATCCTCCTCGACAGCAGGTGCTACATCTTGCCCGGGACCTGGAGCCAGTGGCAGAGCTCGAGGTGGATCCAGTGCTGGTGTGGGTGCTCTGGCTGGGGTTGCCTCCAGCTCTGCAGCCACCACTATCCTCCATGCTGGGCCTCATTCCTGTTCTGGTGACGTCTGCATGGCTGTGAGCTCCGCTTCCTCTGGTTCTGGCTCTCGACATGGCCATGGACCTGGAGAAGGCATAAGCTCTTGGATGGTGTTTGAGCTTGGGCTGGACTTCCAGCCCCAAGAAGACAAAATACCCTCCATGTGACTGACTTCCTACGTACTTTCCAATGACAGAACAAACTTCCCCTGTCTTTCTGAAAAGCCCAAGTGCAATGAGCCAGCCTCAGCAAGTATCCCCAGATGCAGAATGCTGCAGGATTGGTCTGAGTTTCTCAGAGCCCCTGTCCGCACCCCCACATCTGGAAGCTCTGCTCTGTGTAGCCCAGCCCAGCCCCACCCCCAAACCCTCACATGCACCCACCCCATCCTCCTCACCCTTGTGCTCTGCCTCAATGTGTGCCGGGTGCTCCTTCTTGGCCAGAAGAAGGTGAACGCAGCGCTCCAGTTCTGAGCCTCGAAGGTTCAGCTGCAGACAGTCCAGCACCATGTTTAGAACAAAACATTCGAGGGGGCTGAC